TATTGGACCATAATAGGTGAATGTCCAATTTAAAATTTTTAAGTTCTTAGACCACATTCATTCTGTGTCAGAAACCTATGCTGTGTCAAATATTTAATCACAATCCAAATGCAAAGCTGTATCAAGCTTGAATGTTGTGTCCATACTTGCCCCAACTGTTCAGGGTTCGACCTCTGCGGTCGTATCAAGCTGCGCCCTGCGGAGCATTTTATTAAAATTGGAGTTATCTTCCTTTGTCCATGATTATAGTTGAATCAACTACAATCAATGCTTTATACAATGCAATGTTTAATTTTGACTTCCACTGATAAAACACAGATCAAGTTGAATTTGGGTAGTGTCACTTTTACCATTATTGAGTTATGCCCCTTTATAAATCGAAAGATTGCAAAATTTTTAGTTTCCATTCTGTAACTTAAGTTTGCCGCAACCAAACATTATGAAACCTATACACAATATTCATTACCACAAAACTAAGATCAAGTACAAATTTTTTGTTTCCGTTTTCTAACTTTAGTTTGCCTCAACCAAATATTATGAAACTTATACACAATGCTTATTACTACATAATACAGATTAAGTACGAAATTTGGTGGCGACACTTTTACCATTCTTGAGTTATGTCCCTTTATAAACATAAAAATTGCTAAATTTTTTAGTTCGTCTCAACCAAATGTTATAAAACTTATACACAACCGTTCTAGAGTTATGCGTGTTTACAAATAGAAAAATTGCTGAATTTTTAGTTTCTTTTCTCTACTTAAGTTAGCCTCAACCAAATGTTATGAGACTTACACACAATGCTTATTACCACAAAACTCAGATCAAGTTCAATTTTGAGTAGCGTCACTTTTACCGTTCTTCAGTTATGTCCCTTTATAACTATATGATATGCAAGCGGGGGCATCATCTGTGTCCACATGTGGACACTATCCAAATTTATTCATCATGCTTGAAGATATTGATTTGATATTTGGTTTATTGATTTATCATGACAAGTTACAGGTCAAGTTCAATTTTCACGATTTTAGCTTTTCTCTTTGTTCAGTTAAAGCCCTTTCCATAGAATTAAATTTTTTATGAAATACTTATTAATTAGTATATTTCTGTTCAAAGGGAAATAACTCATTTTTTAAAAGACTTTTAAAAGACAAAATGACATTTTGGATTTTTTTCCTTTTCATTGGTAAATTGTTTGAAGAATTTAGTGGTAGGTTTGTTTGTCATTCTTGAAGATATTTATTTGATAATTATTATATAGTTTTATCATGACAAGTTACAGATCAAGTTGAAATTTTGTTCCAGTCTAATAATTTTGTGCAGAGTTATGGTCTTTGGACATAGAAAATTCACTTAAATAATCAGTTTTCAACAGTTTTTTTTCGTCATGCTTGAAGATTTTGACTTGATATTTTTATGTAGTTTACACCATGACAAGTTATAGATCAAGTTAGAATTTCGTTCCATTACAATAAATTTGTAACCAGAATTGGGGACTATGTATTGCCATGCAATACTCACAGAATGCTTGTTGTTCTAGAGTTATGCCCCTTTACAAACGGAAAAATTGCTGAATTTATAGTTTCTGTTCTCTAACTTTAGTTTGCCTCAATCAAATGGTATGAAACTTATACACAATGCTTATTACCACAAATCAAGTTTGAATTTTGGGGATGTCACTTTTATTGTTCTAGAGTTATGCCCCTTTACAAATGGAAAAATTGCTGAATTTTTCCTTTCCGTTTAACTTAAGTTTGCCTCAACCAAATGTTATGAGACTTATACACAATTGTTATTACCACAAAACTCAGATCAAGTACAAATTTGGATAGCTATACTTTTACCGTTCTTCATTTATGTCCCTTTATAACTTCATATGATATGCAAGCGGGGCATCATCTGTGTCCCATGGACACATTCCCCATTTATTTTAAATAATAGAGTGTTATTATGTCATAAAATTTACTGATTCAACTTCAAATTTAATCCAAATTCATATTTAACAATAACTGCTCTAAAATGCATAGGCAATTGAAATACAAAAGAAAAGAAAGCTGACTTAAATACAGTAAATTCAGAAATTTTTGAAGAATTGACAAAAATGAGAGATTCATTATTCCGATTTCGGAAAAAATCTTCATAGTATCAAATCAGAATGGGAGTTGTTCTTATTGCGATAATTTATGAATATACAGTATTTAGCTTGTCAAACTCTGCGCTCTACGTTTCCTAGGCATTTTTTATTTCAAAATTTTTTGGGTTTTTTCCCCCAAAATTTTCCATTTTTACATTGATTATTTCTGATTTATATATAAAAGCAACAAATACTGATATGGCAGGAGATACACACCAAACAGGGTGTGTAAATTATTATATATAACAGATTAACTAAGTATTGTTCAACAGCACGGTATTGTGCAATAGCACAGTATTGTGCAATAGCACAGTATTGTGCAATAGCACAGTATTGCGCAATAGCACAGTATTGCACAAAAGCACAGTATTGCTTCAATTGAAAATAAATTCAAATCTTTTAACCAATTTCAGTGGGATTAATTTAAAGTCTTTAATTTTTGAAGGTTCTAACCTTGTATTACTATTTTGGATATTGGGCCCCATTTTTAAATTGGTTTACATTGAGGTCAAAAGGGTCCAAAGTTAAACTTTGTTTAATTTCATCAAAAACTGAATTATTGCGGCTCTATGATATGCTGAATCTTATTGTGCATTTAGATTTTTTATTTTGGGCCCTGTTTTCAAAGTAGTTCATATCAAGGTTTGAAGGGTCCAAAATTAAACCATGTTTGATTTCAACTAAAATTAAATTTTTGGTGTTTTTTTATATGCTGAATCTAACCATTTTGTTAGATTTTGGATATCAGACCATACTAGGTAAATAAGATGTCCCATTTCAAATTTTTAAGATCTTTGACCACATTTATTTTGTGTCTATATTATGTCAAAAATTTGATCACAATCCAAATTCAGACAGTATCAAGCTTGAATATCGTGTCCAAACTTGCCCCAACTGTTCAGGGTTGGACTTCTGCGGTCGTATCAGGCTGCGTTCAGCGAAACATTTAATTGTCAGTGTTTTCTCAGAAAATACTGAACAGAATGACATATTTGGTCAGCAGCTTGACAGTATATACGTAATCAGTTGTAACATGTGAGCACTTTTGTCAGACACTACTTCCTGCTTAGCAAAACTGAATTTTTAAAAATATTTGTTGTATTAGAATGTTTTCTATCCATAGCTCATCAACTTTCTGTTTACCGAATACTTATATATTCTTACACATAATGGCCATGTATGAAATTTTGGTCATATTTTTGTCTCGCCTTGACGGAGTAAAAAAGCAAGACATAGGTATGCTGTTTCCGGCATCGGCGGAGGTGGGGGCGTCAACAATGTATTAGTTTGTGATTAGGTCTAGTTCATGGTGAACCACTAGTGGTAGGTCAATGATATTTGGTACGCAGTTGTATTAGCATTGGCACATCTCATTACCATGGAGATTATTTGGCCCCTCCCCCTCAGTCAAGGTCTATTGACTTTGAAACTTTGCTTAGTTTACATAAAACTGAGAATGGAAATGGGGAATATGTCAAAGAGACAACAACCCGACCAAAGAGCAGACAACAGCCGAAGGCCACCAATGGGTCTTCAACGCAGCAAGAAAATCCCGCACCCAGAGGTGGTCCGCAGCTGGCCCCTAAATACCGGTAAAATTGTGTACTAGTTCAGTGAAAATGGATGTATTAGTTTGTGATTAGGTGGAGATTATTTGGCCCCGCCCCCTCATTCATGGTCTTTTGACTTTGAAACATTTGCTTAGTTTTCATGTATTAGTTTGTGATTAGGTCAGTTTAAGGGGAACCGTTAGTGGTAGGTCAATGATAATTGGTATGCAGTTGTATAAGCATTAGCACATCTCATTTCCATGAGAATATTTGGTCCTTACCCCTCAGTCATGGTCTATTGACTTTGAAACTTTTGCTTTGTTTACATGTATTAGTTTGTGATTAGGTCAGTTTAAGATGAACCACTAAAGTTATGTCAATGATATTCGGTATGCAAATGTATTGGCATTTGCAAGTTTCATTTCCATGGAGATTATATAACCCCACCCCCTAATTATGGTTCATTGACTTTTGAAACTTTTACATAGTTTACAAGTTAATGTTTGTGTTTAGGTTTGTTTAAAGGAAAGACTTATGAAAAGTCAATGGATAATTTGGTTTGCAGTTGTATTAGCATTGGCACATCTCATTTCCATGGAGATTGTTTAGCACTGTACCTTCAGTCATGGTTCATTGACTTTGAATATTTGCAGAACTTACATGTTAAAGTATTGCTTTATCAAAATAACAAATAGGCGAGACATATCTCTGTTAACAGTTTATTCTCAGGAACTACAAATCAGGGCTTTCTGTTATTTGGAATAAAGCTTTAAATGATTATAAGTTGTACATATCTGTCTGGTGGGTTTCATCTGACCTTGACCACATTTTTCATAATTCATTAATCAATGTTAATTTCATGGTTATGTCTGTTTCTCAGATACTATATGTAATAGATCATCTATATTTGGTGTTTGGAATGATTGCAGTAAATATACATGTTTCTGGCATGGTTCATCCGACTTTGACCTAATTTTTATGATCCATTGGTCAATGTTCAATTTTGTAATTATATCTATTTCTCAGATACTTGAAGCAATAGCCTAACTATATTTGGTGTATGGTATGATTGTAAGGTGTACATTTCTGTCTGGCAGAGTTCATCTGATTTGACCTTATTTACGTGGATCATTGATAATGTAAAGTTTGTGTGATACTGGTAGTAAAACCTTCATATAACAGACTTTCAACATAACTTCAGTCATGATAGTACAGCAGGCGAGACATGTCAGCATGTGTACTCTTGTTTTTTTTTTTATATTCATCAAATTAGTCTAATATTGATTAATAGACACATGTAATTAAACTTTTTATAGTGGGACGTTTCGAGAGTGATGCTTTATTGGTACCTAGACACTGTAAATTTGAACATGAACATGGCTTACCTGTAGTATGCGAAGGCTATCAATATTGGGCAGATGTAGCAGAAAAGAAATGTAAAGCACAAAATATGAAGAGAAATGATTTTGCAATGCTACTTGACTGTGATATTGGCAAGTTCAATGGAGTTGAATATGTTTGCTGCCCAGATGAACAAGGTAAATTTATGTTTGATTAATAGACATGTCATTGTTTTCTTGTAACAGTCTGAAGTTTGATTAAGGTGGAGAAAGGAAGGGTTCTTTGGTTTCAGAATAAGGATGGGGGACATTTTTATACGACCGCAAACAAATTTTTGTGGTTGTATATTGGTATGACGTTGGCGTCGTCATTGTCGTCCGACGTCGTCGTCGTTGTCCGAAGACACATTGGTTTTCGCACTCTAACTTTAGTTTAAGTGAATGGATCTCTATGAAATTTTACCATAAGGTTAAATACCACAAAAGGAAGGTTGGGATTGATTTTGGGGGTTATGGTACCAATAGTTAAGGAATTAGGGGCCAAAAAGGGGCCAAAAATAAGCATTTTTGTAACTTCCAGACATAACTTGTGTGTTAGTGTATGGATCTCTCTGACATTGTACTACAAGGTTCCATATCACAAAGGGAATGCTGGGATTGATTTTGGGGGTAATTGCCTCAAAATTTTAGGAATTAGGGGCCAAAAAAGGGGCAAAAACAAGCATTTTTCTAGTTTCATGACAATGACTTGTGTGTAAGTGTATGGATCTTTCTGAAATTGTACTACAAGGTTCCATATCACAAAGGGAAAGCTGGAATTGAGTTTAGGGGTAATTGCCCAAACGTTTAGGAATAAGGGGCCAAAAGGGGGCCAAAAATAAGCATTTTTCTAGTTTCATGACAATGACTTGTGTGTAAGTGTATGGATCTTTCTGAAATTGTACTACAAGGTTCCATATCACAAAGGGAAGGCTGAGATTGATTTTGGGGGTAATTGCCTCAAAATTTTATGAATGAGGGGGCAAAAAAGGGGCCAAAAAACAAGCGTTTTTCTAGTTTCAGGAAAATGTGTGTAAGTGTATGGATCTTTATGAAATTGTACTACAAGGTTCCATATCACAAAGGAAAAGCTGGGTTTGAGTTTGGGGGTTATTGCCCTAAACGTTTAGGAATTTTGGGCCAAAAAGGGGCAAACAAACAAGCATTTATCTAGTTTCCAGACAATAACTTGTGTTCAAGTGTATGGATCTCTCTGAAATTGTACTGCAAGGCACCATACATTGTAGCACAAAGGGAAGGCTGGGATTGAGTTTGGGGGTGATGAATCATAAGGGGGTTCAAAAAATTTGAGGGGGGATTTTTTTCCACTTTTTTTTCTTTAAAATTTTCCATTTTAAATTGGTTATTTCTGATTTATATATAAAAGCAAATAATAATGATATGGTTTGAATAGGTAAATTAAAAATTTTTAAGTTCTTAGACCACATTCATTCTGTGTCAGAAACCTATGCTGTGTCAAATATTTAATCACAATCCAAATTCAGTGCTGTATCAAGCTTGAATGTTGTGTCCATACTTGCCCCAACTGTTCAGGGTTCGACCTCTGCGGTCGTATCAAGCTGCGCCCCAGCGAAGCATTTTATTTGTTATTATTTTGAATATTATTATAGATATATATAATTGTAAGCAGCAATAATGTTCAGCAAAGTAAGATCTACAAAAAAGTTAATATGACCAAAATTGTCAATTGACCCCTTAAGGAGTTATTGCCCTTTAAAGACAATTTTACACAATTTGTTCATCAAGTTTGTTAACATTTAAAAATCTTCTCCTCTGAAATGCAGGCGAGCGATTCAGGCTCTTGAGAGCCTCTTGTCTTGGATCATGTTAAGTTTATGTGATAGTTGTAGTAAAGCTTTATATTTAGAACTATCAACATAATATCAATGACTAGTAAAATAGGCGAGACATTTCAGCGTGTGCACTCTTGTTTTTGTTATGCTTGAAGATATGATTTGATATTTGTTATATAGTTTACACCATGACAAGTTATAGATCAAGTTAGCATTTTGTTCCAGTTCAATGAATTTTTAACCGGTAGGGGACAATGTATTGCCATGCAATACTCTCAGAATGGTTGTTTTCTCTGAATGATGATTTTACCCATTTTTTGGCATTTTTGTCCAAAATTTTTGTTTATAGAGAGAAGCTTATAACAACAAAAAATATCATCAAAATAGATCACAAGTATTAATTGCCCTTAAATGACCCTTTTTTAGCTCACAGGGGCCATGAAGGGCCCCATGTGAGCTTATGCCATCACTTGGCGTCCGTCGTTGTCTGTCGTCTGTCGTCGTCGTCTGTCGTCGTAAACTATTTAAAAAATCTTCTCCTCTGAAACTACTGGGCCAAATACCTTCAAACTTTATCTAAATGTTCTTTAGGGTATCTAGTTTATAAATTGTATCCGAAGTTTTGATCCATTGACAAACATGGCCGCCATGGCTAAAAATAGAACATAGGGGTCAAATGCAGTTTTTGGCTTATATCTCAAAAATTAAAGCTTTAAGAGCAAATCTGACTTAGGGTAAAATTGTTCAGTTGGTCAAGATCTATCAGCTCTGAAATTATCAGACGAATCAAACAACCCATTGTTGGGTTGTTGCCACCGAATTGGTAGTTTTAACAAAATTTTGCAGTTTTTTGTTATTATTTTGAATATTATTATAGATATATATAAACTGTAAGCAGCAATAATGTTCAGCAAAGTAAGATCTACAAAAAAGTTAATATGACCATAATTGTCAATTGACCCCTTAAGGAGTTATTGCCCTTTAAAGACAATTTTACACAATTTGTTCATCAAGTTTGCTAACATTTAAAAATCTTCTCCTCTGAAACTACTGGGCCAATTACCTTCAAACTTTAACTAAATGTTCCTTAGGGTATCTTGCTTATAAATTGTATCCGAAGTTTGTATTCATCGACAAACATGGCCACCATGGCTAAAAATAGAACATAAGGGTCAAATGCAGTTTTTGGCTTATATCTCAAAAACTAAATCTTTTAGAGCAAATGTGACATGGGGTAAAATTGTTCAGTTGGTCAAGATCTATCAGCTCTGAAATTTTCAGACAAATCGAACAACCCATTGTTGGGTTGCTGCCACCGAATTGGTAGTTTTTAGCTCACCTGGCCCGAAGGGCCAAGTGAGCTTTTCTCATCACTTGGCGTCCGTCGTTCCTTTGTCGTCGTTAGCTTTTTTACAAAAATCTTCTCCTCTGAAACCACTTGGATAAATTTAACCAAACTTGGCCACAATCATCATTAGGGTATCTAGTTTAAAAAATGTGTCCGATGACCCCTCCAACCAACCAAGATGGCCGCCATGGCTAAAAATAGAACATAGGGGTAAAATGTAGATTTTGGCTTATATCTCTGAAATCAAAGCATTTAGAGTAAATCTGAATGGGTAAAACTGATTATCAGGTCAAGATCTATCTGCCATGAAATTTTCAGACAAATCTGACAACCTGTTGTTGGGTTGCTGCCCCTGAATTGGTAATTTTAAGAAAATTTTGCAGTTTTTGGTTATTATCTTGAATATTATTATAGATAGAGATAAACTGTAAACAGCAATAATGTTCAGCAAAGTAAGATCTACAAATAAGTTGTCATGACCAAAATTGTCAGTCGACCCCTTTAGGAGTTATTGCCCTTAATAGTCAATTTTTAACAATTTTTTGTAAATTTTTGTAATCTTTTACAAAAATCTTCTTCTCTGAAACTACTGCGTCAAATTTAACCATACTTGGCCATAATCATTATTAGGGTATCTAGTTTAAAAAATTTGTCCGATGACCCCGCCTTCCAACCATCATGGCCAACTTGGTTAAAAATAGAACATAAGGGTAAAATGCAGTTTTTGGTTTATATCTCTGAAACTAAAGCATTTAGAGCAAATCTGACAGGCGGCAAAAATGTTCATCAGATTTAGATTTATCTGCCCTGAAATTTTCAGACGAATCCGACAACCCGTTGTTGGGTTGCTGCCCCTGAGTTAGTAATTTTACAAAAATTTTGCAGTTTTTTGTTATTATCTTAGATATCATTATAATATCTAATATCTTATACTATTAATTATGATTTTAACCTTATTTTACATGATTTCCAAAGCATCAGTAAATACAGGTGAGCAACACAGGCTCTTGAGAGCCTCTAGTTTGTTATTATTTTGAATATTATTATAGATATATATAAATAATGTTCAGCAAAGTAAGATCTACAAAAAAGTTAATATGACCAAAATTGTCAATTGACCCCTTAAGGAGTTATTGCCCTTTAAAGACAATTTTACACAATTTGTTCATCAAGTTTTCTAACATTTAAAAATCTTCTCTGAAATGCAGGTGAGCGATTCAGGCTCTTGAGAGCCTCTTGTTTACAAAACCTTTAATTTTAATAATTATAACATGAATAGTAGTCGTCGCTAATATGTTAAAACTTGGATCTTCCTTTATATAAATTCATCAAGAAAATCAAGAAAATAAATCGCAGCAAAGTTGACTAGACAGGATATATTGCAAAATAAAATATCCTGGAAAATTAGTTTATAGTAGTTGTACATACAAAATAAGTTTTCAATTTGAATATACTGCCATTTGGTGTGTTGGGACTTTTTGTGGAACTCTTCTTCAGCTATTGACTGTGAAGCTGTCTGGACTACAAAACTTTGACTTAATAATTTTATCTGCCTAATAATTTAGTTTAAAGTTATAAGCTAACCTATGTTTATCTGAGTCTCTCTGCATGAAAGCTGTATAAAAGTTTTCTTTGTGCCACTTGTTAAATATGCAAGTTTTGTTTACATGCTGAATGGAACAGGAATAATAGTAGTGACATCATAAGTATGAGAATATGGCAGCTGCCTTTTGATGCGGGAAATATAAAAATATTTATTTAGATACAAATTTATCACCTTGGTCAAATTGAAATTTGCATGAATGGGGATTCATATGAGTTGAATCATTGACTTGCAAGCCATCAATGTTGTTGAGCTTATTTTGAAAAAATGACCCAAACTGACTGCTAATAGCTAAATAATATTTCACAATTCTGCTTTTATAAAAGTTTGAAACACAAACAAAATATCACATTTTGATTTTTTGTCAACTTTGTAGCTAATGCCCCTTTAATCA